CAGGTCACGATATTCTAATTTATTGAGATAGCAATTTGGTCGGTTTTTGTTAAATGTGGGCCAAAAGCATCACAATTAAAAGACCCAACAGCTTAAACTACTTCAGTCTGTGTGTACTGAATTTATATAATACACGGGTTTCACTATCTGAGTTGAATTACTGAAATAAATGGACTTTTCCAATATATTCTAATTTACTGAGAATCACCTGTACATACCAATCTCAATCTCACAGAAAACTTCTTGAGTCCGGGAGGTGTTATGTGGAGGTTCATGGTTTTCATCATGTCACTGATCTTCACAAGGGCCAGCTTGTTAGGGTGACCATAATGTTTTTTGAGGTTGAACATTGTACTGGTGTTGGGCTGTAGTGAGTTGGTGTGAGAGTAGGACACAAGCAGTGTCTACTCAAAGATCAGATTATTCACAAGGATCTCCAGGGCAGCGTTCAGTCCGGTTAACCTCCCTTGAACCCCCTTTGGTGAATACAGGAATGTAAGGCTTGGGATCCCGGTATAACATTTTACACTAGTCAGAGGGTAGAGACTTACTGCATGTAGAGCCACTCCTCAGCGTGGTGTATGGTTTGTAGTGCTCTAGTGTCTGCACCTGGGGTGCTAGATCATGGGGCTCCTGATGCATTATCCTCATGTCCGTCAGTAGTGTTGTGAGCTTTGCCACCAGGTCATGTGATGCTGAAAATAGTACTGGCTAATTAACAATGGTGTCTGCTACAGGGGTGGTGGTAGAGGGCAATGATCACCATTGTCTGGAGGGAGAGCATGACCACCACCCACCACAGGCCACTGCAGTGACAAGAGTCTGCAATAGCTCTCATCACACTTTTAATGGTGCTGGTGTTGGGGTGGCTCATGCACCCGTGGTGGAGGCAAGGCTGAGTTTTGCAGCAGTGGTGGGTCAGGAAGTGTGACACTGGCATCTCAGACATTTCCGCATATCCATCATCTGCCACGACATCGTCAGCTTGTCTCCCATCAGTCTGTGAAGGATTCTTAGGAGCTCAGGTGACATCTCTTGTGCAGTGTTGAGATGGGGAGAAGCAGGTAGGCTCTGGAACATGGGAGCATATGTTGACTGGTGTTGGTCCTGGGGTTCAGCTTCTTGCACAATATGCCAACCATCATATAGATGTGAGGGTTTGAGAAGCATCATCCTGGCATGTCTCTGCCGTGACCTCTCCATGCTGCAGTAGAGCTGCTGTTGCTCTGATGGGTAAACTGTGTCATAAGGAGCATGGGAGCACAGGTACTGTACTGGCCAGAGAGATGTTGTAGTCTTCTGTCCAGACTGGTGGCCAGGACTGTATGCAGGGATAATCATTTGCAGGGTGTTGGGTCCTATGTTGATCCAGCAACACCTTTAAACAGTTCTATGGTGACCACGCATTGAGCTCAAAGGACCAGAAATATTTTTGGAGACTGTGCAGGAATATATATGTTCCATTACAGTATACAGTATATGTGGTTCTGGAACAGAAAACAAAACAAACAATCAGAAACACAGCTGCACATGCCTACACACAGCTATCATTTTTAGTCTCACCATATTGGGATTTCATGCTTGCAATGACTGTAAATCGCTCCATGTCTCTGTAGCCCAACTACACAAACAGCATAACTTGTGCAAACAGGAGCTGGTCTCAGAATTAGTTTTTATTTGTGAAATATTTATATACTCATAAAAAACACAAACGGGTTTGTATGTTTTTTTTTTTCATATGAACATATTTTAGCATCCTTCATGTGAACCCCTTTGAAACCCCCTCATGACACAGTGGGGAGGTTCCTGATCTCCAGGTTAAGAGCTGCTGAACTGCAGCAAACATACTGTACAGACATACACACACACTGCTGCTATGTTCATACAGGCTGATCACCTTCTAGCACTAGTTGTTTTTCTACTATCACTATAGAGAGGAATCATTTTGTGTCATGTACTTGTGTCAACACTTTTTCTTCCTTGCAGCTTTACGCCTGTTATAAATAGTCACATCAGCAATTCACTTGTGTGAACTGGGAGGAGGTAACGTTTTAGTCAATATATCATTTTCACACTTAACTGTTTGTGACAGGATATTTTAAACCTAGTGAAATATGTTTGTCTTTATAATGTCTTTCCTTTGTGCAGGTAACTGACATAAACCTATGATGTTATATTTGGGCATCTGGAGTTTAATGTGATTTGTCTTTGGTGTAAGGAGCTGTTGAACGTTTACAACGAGATACATTATTGATTTGTCTGAAGGTTGGTTTTAACGGGATTTGTGTTTTACTCTGAGTGAATTTATTGGACTTCTGGCTCATACATTCTGACATTCAGATAACAGTGACCTAAATGTTTTACATGTCCAGAATGTCTGCATCCATGTGTTGGTTGCCCTGGCTCTTGACCCGGTGGCCCTCCTCAGCCCTCTCTCTGCTGCTTCTCAGTGTAGTGGGCAAACAGACGGACCTGAAGGTGGTTCAGGCGATAGTGTGTTCCCAGTGGGGTGCGCCGAGTAATAAGAGCCTCACTCAGGATGGAGATGTGATTATTGGTGGACTTTTTAACCTACATTACATATATACAAGTACAGAATTGGGCTTCACCAAGCTTCCACTTTATGAACCTTGCACTGGGTAATTATATTATATACTATAATTTTATTACAATATGTCTAGTGGTTATAGTATTAATAATTTAATGTCAGCACATTGTTGCATTTTTTAAATATATACATACTCAATTTGTTATACTCATTCTCTTTACAATACACAAATGTTACTGTAGTCATGCAGTCTAATACAACAGACCTGCATAAAAAAAGATCTTCACAGAGATTAAAATGCTTAATTTTTCTTGAAATTGGATTGAAAATTTGTTGACTGTATGATAACGTAGTAATGTGTTGTTTGTGCTGCGGTTTAACTGCAATGTATTATGTAGAGAGGTCTGTCTCTTATGCATTCTAACTTGGATGTGTGTATGTTGTGGTCTCAGTTTAGATCTGGAGCCATTAAAATATATGTATGCTATGGCTTTTGCGGTGGAAGAAATCAATCGTAACAGCACATTGCTGCCAGGAGTGAAGCTGGGCTACCGTATATTTGACAGCTGTGGCCAATACCCCTGGGCTTTGAAAACTGCACTGGACCTGGTTGGTGAAGACAAACAAAGTTGTCACTTAACAGCCTCTACACCTCAGTCTGAAAATTATGAACAACCTGGAGAAACAACAAGTATGACCTGAAGTAATTTAGTATGCAGTTAACTGCACATATGCAGTTATGCTATGTGCATGAAATCATCAACTGATATTCATTTACTATGTAAAAATTGTCCTTCTGTCTAATGCTTTCATCAGGTGGTCAGTCTGTTTCTTTGGTCATTGGTGCTTCCTCGTCTACACTAGCAATAATTCTGTCAAGGATTCTGGGGCCTCTCTCTGTGCCAGTTGTGAGTTTCTTTATGTGAAGAAAAACTCCATCTACACTGTGTGTATATACAATATAATTCTATAAGTTTGTTAGTTTTATTTTTTTTCCCTAATGCATATTCCTCTATCTTGTTTGTACTTTTTGTATTTTTATTTTTGTTCTATGTCCTGTTTACTCACTGCCTTACAGAAGAGCATTGTACATGCACACTGAGAGCCACTGTAATGGAGTGAAGTTCTGGCCAATAAAGCTGATTCTGATTCTGAAAACCTCTGATGAGCTGTTCCTTACAGTTTACATAATGGCACATATATTTTTTCATATTTCAAGTTTAAGAGTTTCTTTATCTGAAGGGATAAACTTCTGATGAGTCTTTTTATATATTCTATATTAACAGGCTTATAAAATGAAACATTTCAACAATTGGTATTATTGCTGTAAAAAGTATAAAATTATAATAGTTCTGTATTTTCGCCTCAGATCAGTTACTTGGCTAGTTGCCCATGTCTCAGTGACCGGCATCAGTTTCCGAACTTCTTCAGGACAATCCCCAGTGATATTTACCAAGTCAGGGTCATTGCACAACTGGCCATACGATTCCACTGGACTTGGATTGGAGCTGTGCTTGAAAACACTGACTATGGTCAACTTGCCTTACAGGTGTACTGTATGTTTTTGTCATAAATGTATGTTCTAAATAACCTAAAGAAATTTCATGTATCGGACTCACATACGTATACAAATATATGTGTCACTATTGGTGAGGTTTTAAATTTATCATTTCAGGTTTTTCACGAAGAGATTACAGGTAAAGGGGTTTGTTTGGAATTCATAGAAACTGTCCGCAGTGAAACAATTGTGAGTGATGCCAGACGTGTTGCCCTCATCATTCAAGCTTCATTTGCCAGGGTGATTCTGATCTTTTGCTGGTTCATTGATGTAAAGCAACTATTTCTGGAACTGGCCACGAGAAATGTGAGTAACTACACAATTCATCTTTAAATAAAGATTTTGTTTAGAAAACAAATGTCAGGCTTTTTGTCTTGATGGAATTTATTTCTATGTCATCCTGCTGTAGGTGACTGACAGACAGTTTGTGGCCAGTGAGGCCTGGAGCACCAGTGATGATCTTCTCCAAGATCCTGCCATCTCAAAGGTGGCAGATGGTGTTCTCGGTGTGGCCATTCGAAGTTCAACAATACCTGGATTTGAATATTATCTGAGAAAGTTGCACCCACTTCAGAGGCCTGATGACGAATTCCTGAGAGAACTGTGGGAAACAGAGTTTGGATGCAGTCCTGAAGACGTACCTCTCTTTTCACATTCATCTTCACCCTTCACAACAAAGTCTAATCATTTCTCAAATGTTTCTACTTCATCTTTTGCCAAGAGGTCTCTTCAGAAAGCTTCTCTACCACCGTGCAAAGGTACAGAGTCCCTGGAGGGAGTGCAGCATCCCTTCACTGACACCTCCCAGCTAAGGGTGTCATATAATGTCTACCTTGCTGTTTATGCTGCAGCCCACGCCCTTCACAGCCTTCTGTCGTGCCCCAGCATAAACTCTCCCAGAAACAACATTTCCTCTTGTTCCTCTCCAAAACACATCAAGCCCATAGAGGTAACCATGAATGTCACTGTGTCCTCTTAATGACTACAGTGATTGTTGTTAATGTTTTGATGAACTGAATATGATACAGTAAATGCAGTGTTCATATAGTGAAATATCAGCAGTTTCTCACATTTGATGCTTTCAGCTGTTGCAGCACTTGAACAATGTGACCGTCACCACACCACAAGGGGACATGTTTTATTTCCATGGTGCTGACATTCCAGCAACGTATGACCTTGTCAACTGGCAGAACACTCCTGAGGGGCCCCTGAAACTCGTTTTGATTGGTCGTGTGGATGGAACTGACATCCACCTTAATGAGTCAGCTATTCAGTGGAGCACAGGATCCAATCAGGTAAACAGATCAATAAACTGTCTCAAGGCTATTAACAAATATGCCTCTTTTTTATTCTGAATCCTTTTTGGGTTTGTGTATAGGTCCCTGTTTCAGTGTGCAGTGAGAGCTGCCCTCCAGGTACCCGAATGGCCAACAGGAAAGGGGAACCTGTCTGCTGCTTTGACTGTATCCCATGTGCTGAAGGGGAGATTAGCAACAAAACTGGTGAGGAAACATAAGGTGTTCCTATAAATAGTTTATACAGTCACCACTGCAGTAACTCCACAACTTTCAATAGGCATTAGTCATGATTTTTTATAATGCTTTTCAGCTTATCTACATTTTTCCCAAGTTTTTTCTCCTTCCTGATTTTGTGTGCCTTCCTCTTCCAGGTTCCCTTCACTGTGAGCGTTGTCCATCTGAGTTCTGGTCCAACGTTGAACGAACTGCCTGCATCCCTCCCCAGCTGGACTTCCTTTCCTTTAATGAGGCTTTGGGTATTACCCTGACTACAGCAGCTGTGTCGGGTGCCATGGTGACAACAGCTGTGTTTGTGGTGTTTCTTTACTATCGTCACTCACCTGTGGTAAGAGCCCAGCATAATGTAACAGAGTATGTTGCATTTCTTTCTTTAATTTTATTGACTATGAAGAATAAAAAAAAAGTCTCTAACTCTTTAACTGACCACATCTGTGGCTGTTAATTTGGTTTCCCTCAAGGTGCGAGCCAACAACTCAGAACTGAGCTTCCTGCTTCTTCTGTCACTGAAGCTCTGCTTCCTGTGCTCACTGGTGTTCATTGGTCGTCCATCAGTCTGGTCTTGTCGGCTCCAGCAGGCAGCATTTGGGATCAGCTTTGTTCTTTGTGTTTCCTGCCTTCTGGTAAAAACCATAGTGGTTCTGGCAGTTTTCCGCTCAGCTCGGCCTGGTGCTGAAGCCTTGATGAAATGGTTTGGGCCGCTCCAGCAGAGAGGAAGTGTCTGCCTCTTCACCTGTATACAGGTGGGAATACTGTTCTAGTCATTAAATGATGAGAACATCTTATTTTCTGTATCACATCGTCAGTTGATATTAAATAATAACAAAGAAATATGTGCACTTTGCATGCAGGTTATCATCTGTGCCACCTGGCTTTTCCTCAGCCCCCCAGTGCCTAAACATGATTTGGGTTTCCAAGGGTCAAAGGTCACCTTGAAGTGTGCCATGGCCTCTGTGGTGGGCTTCTCACTGGTACTGGGCTACATTGGCCTGCTGGCCTGCACCTGCCTCCTCTTGGCCTTTCTGGCTCGGAAACTTCCTGGTAATTTCAATGAAGCCAAACTGATCACGTTCAGCATGCTGATCTTCTGTGTTGTCTGGGTGACCTTTGTCCCAGCTTACATTAGCTCTCCTGGGAAGTATGTTGTTGCTGTGGAAATCTTTGCAATTCTTGCCTCTAGCTATGGTTTACTGCTCTGCATTTTTGCCCCAAAATGTTTCATCATTCTTTTAAGACCTGAGAAAAACACTAAGAAACACTTGATGACTAGGTAGTTTTTAATGACTTGAGTGTGGGCAACATCGGGCTTTTAAATCCAGTGGTGTTCACTTAAAATTCTATTAATTTGCTTTTTGTCAACATAAGTCAAGTTTTTGTCATTTACTTTGCTGTCAGTGGCAGCATAGAAAGTCCCTCGCTCAAGGGCAATACACCTGGAGACGCAATCAAATCTATAAATATTTAGCAGTAGCTACTGAAAGTATGCACTTAGAGATAAACTCAGTGGAGAACACAATGAAACAGGAAGGTTGTTTTTTTTTTTTGTGAAGTTGCAAACGGCAGGAAACAAGTCAGACAGGCAAGATGCAGACCAGCTAATGGTAGTGGGAAACTGGTAAATGACAGTAGATTTAGGTAATCAGCTCATAGTTCCAGAGCAGATAGTTAGCATTAACCTCAGACCAGACCTCGTGTTGTAGTCAGAAGCACAAGATCGCTAATTTCAAATTGTAAACTGCAAGTAATGTGAGGATTATGCCTGATAAGTTGAAGTAAAGTAGCATAGGATGAAGGGCTTAAAAGTGTTTGATACATGCAGCAGGCTTGATGCCTACTTCCTGGTGTTAGCATGAGGGCATAGTAGAAGTTTGACTAGTTTGTTGAAGTGATTAGCAACAATGTGGAATATGATGCAGTAAAAAGAAGGCAGAAGTTTGATTAGATATTTAGTGAGTTGTCTGAAATGTTTCTTGAGTTATTTGAATTGTTTCGTTGCTAGGACAGCATTTGAAATGTTTGCTAGTGTTAGTGCTCGCAATTTCTTAGTTAGCTGAAATGTTTGGTGGGCTATTTGAAATGCTTGGCTAGGGCAGCATTTGAAATGTTTGCTAGTAGTAGTGCTTGAAATGGCTTAGGTATTTGAAATATTTGGTGCAACTCAACGCAACACCAGTTAGTGAGAAGGTGCCCACCTGATGACCCTGTAGACTTGTCTTTACTCCTACACCTACACAGAATATGTACTGGTGTTGGTGATATAGTTAGTGACTCTGTCTGGTTGTTAATGGTGTATTTTTCTTATGATTGACAATCATAGTAGAACAGTGTCAGTGGTTGGACAACTGAGCAGACCCTGCTCTCAGGAGGTGACTGCCATTACAAACCAGTTGGGCCAGCCACTACTACACAGATGCTGTGTGTAAAATCACATATCTGCTCTTTGCTTGGATGAGGGTAGGATTTAAGGATGCTTTTTTTTAAGGTCATGGATGTACTCCCATTTTTTGGCACATTTAATTGTGTTTTATTGACTATATTAAAATTTTGCATTTATAATATTAATACAAAGTGTTTTATATCATGTTTAATAATTAATTGAAGCTTTGTTTTAGGGAGCTTGGTGTTACTTTAGGTAAGTTGCTATGACACAATGGTCACTTAAGCCATTTGGAAACACTCAGCATTTATGTTGATCACGAGTCAGAATTAGATCAATTAATGAGGATTTGTTTGAATCAGATTTAGAGAAGCACATAAATCTTCATAAACATATATTTTTGCTGTTAAGGAGTCCTACATCAGCTAACCAAATAAAACAATCTCTTTGTAATCAAACTCACTGTTCAATATGAGCCAAAGAGGGCAGTGACTTCCTTACTGCTAATTGCAGCCTTTACCATAACACCCTTTCACTGTTAACAGTATCTAATAGAATCTAGATTTGATACAAAGCTGCAAACATTTCAGTGGATGAGTCCAAGGCCAGGGCTTTGTTTAAAGTCTGTGGGTGTTCTAGTGTGTCAGTATTGAGGTCCAGAGTTAGGCAAAACATTACCAGATATCAGGAGTACAGGAATGTCCTGCAGGACATACTATCATCCACAAGATCAACAGAATTGTAAATGGTTATTAGATCATAATTTTGAAGAACCATGGTGCATGGTAAGTAATTTATAGGAGGCAGTGTAGCCATACAGCCACATAAAGACAGGGCCATAATCATTAGAAGTACTAGGACATTTACCAGGAATCCCAGGCAGTGTCAAAGCTTCCCACTTGCCAAAACAATTAATACACTTAACAAGATGTATATATGTATTTATATAAACTACACTCTTTTCCTACTCTGATCAAATTACAGGTACACAAGTTCAAAAGGAAATAGTTGGAAATCAGATTGTCACAATTCACCCCACAGGAAGGTAAAATAGACACAGATCACAAATTAGGAACAGATAGATCCGAGAATGACCTTAAGGGATTTGTTGGACCCAGTTCTTTTCACCGTTAACTCTGAGAGACAAAGCAGTCCCAGTAACTTCAAAACAGTGCTGATTTATTCAATGAACACAGGTAAAATTAACATTACACGCTCAGGAGCCTTTGCACCTCCAACATGCACGCAGGCAGCTGGTAGATGAAAAGCCCTGAACCATAACAGGCCTATACACTATATCACTTTGGGCTAGCCCCTTACTACTCAGGGATGCCAAACCGTGACGTCTCCGGTGCCAGCTTTGCAGCTGGCCATAGCAGAGTCAAAGCATGAAGAAAATCAATGTGTGATTGTCCGTTGATTGTGTGGTGTGCATCTAAGACATTCTGACATGACATTAAGCATAAGAAAATATTATGACTACGATTATGGTTAAACACATCATAACAATAATAATAAACATTCTGTCTCCTGACAGTAATCAACTTTCTATCTGGTTATCCTTGAACCTGAACAACCTGGAGTACCCCATGGGAATGACTAAGCATTTTACAACCTGAGCTAGACATCCTGTCTACACTAAACATTTTTAATACATGAAGTGTCTAACCAATGTCTATCTGACTAAAAATACCTAACAGATTATTCAGCTTTAATTTTACAGGGAACTTTCCAGTAATTTCTGGTCATTCATAAACAGCAGGTACTCTTTAAGTCACTCTTCTTGGCTATTTCCTAGCAATTTTTTCATATTACTACATAGTTAACTGCCTGTAAATTAAAGTGGCACTGTAATTGTCCTTTACCTTCTCCTGCCATACCCAAATGCTTCATTTATGTTGCAAATATTCTAGCATAAACAAAGAAAATTTGGCATGAATTGGTGAATTCTACTTTGCAGTCAGTTTAGTTCAGGCTCAGCTAAAGCTGCCCAGCTATTTTCAGTTTACCTCCAGCAGGATTTCATTGAACATGTGAGACTTGTTGGCCATCCACATTTTGCGGCCATTTCCTCTCATAGATCCTCCTCATGATGATGCAGTTCTCTAAAGTCCACAGTTTCTCACTTACTATTCATTCTCAAAGCGAGATATTAACTGGACTCCCTGAATATCACACATTACTGTCAACATAAAATATTATTTAACAATGTATAAAGTAATGCTTCAATGTTCGAGCTACAATCCATATAATACTAAGTAAAGGAATTATAGCTTTAGATCTGTTAACAGTATGTGAATGCATCTCTGTTGAAGAAAATGAGGTTTTAATGATAAGTGACTGACTCAACAAAGCAAAGCAGTTCATACAACAATAAGTAAACGCATCACCAAATGCATCTTATAAAATGGTAAGAGAAAGTATCTTCGGTCAAGACAATACAATAGTTTGTACAACAGCAAGTAGGATTAAAATAGAAAAGGAAAGAAAGGGTAAAATAAAAAAATTAATTCTTGTCAGCAATCAGATGTACAGTGGGTACGGAAAGTATTCAGACCCCCTTAAATTTTTCACTCTTTGTTATATTGCAGCCATATGCTAAATTCATTTAAGTTCATTTTTTTCCTCATTAATGTACACACAGCACCCCATATTGACAGAAAAACACAGAATTTTTGACATTTTTGCAAATTTATTAAAAAAGAAAAACTGAAATATCACATGGTCATAAGTATTCAGACCCTTTGCTGTGACACTCATATATTTAACTTAGGTGCTGTCCATTTCTTCTGATCATCCCAGAGATGGTTCTACACCTTCATTTGAGTCCAGCTGTGTTTGATTATACTGATTGGACGTGATTAGGAAAAGCCACACACCTGTCTATATAAGACCCTACAGCTCACAGTGCATGTCAGAGCAAATGAGAATCATGAGGTCAAAGGAACTGCCTGAAGAGCTCAGAGACAGAATTGTGGCAAGGCACAGATCTGGCCAAGGTTACAAAAAAATTTCTGCTGCACTTAAGGTTCCTAAGAGCACAGTGGCCTCCATAATCCTTAAATGGAAGACGTTTGGGACGACCAGAACCCTTCCTAGAGCTGGCCGTCCGGCCAAACTGAGCTATCGGGGGAGAAGAGCCTCGGTGAGAGAGGTACAGAAGAACCCAAAGATGACTGTGGCTGAACTCCAGAGATGCAGTCGGGAGATGGGAGAAAGTTGTAGAAAGTCAAAGAAAGTCAACCATCACTGCAGCCCTCCACCAGTCGGGGCTTTAGGGCAGAGTGGCC